ATGACTTCAAAAAGAATCTAGATAAAAATGATTTGTTACTTTTCACTTTAAATCAAAGATAATTACCCAGCAATATACATGATTGTACTTTATAAATAAAAGTACCTTCATTCAGGGTAAACTCAATACACAGACTCGAAAATGAAAGCAGTCATCAAATAGTGTTCTAATTTATTTTATGTTACCTCAAGCTTTAAAAGGTAGGGACTAGAAAATAGCATCTATTTCCTAAGTACATACTGAAGTTCAATCATATTACAGAGAATTTCAGAAAAATCAAAGACTATAGTTCATGTTTAGGAATCATTTTGCATATAATGCAGGAATGCCTTCTCTGGAAGTAATCCTTGCATAATTTACTCTGAGAAACTTAGGAATACTATATAATAAAGAGGGTATTCCAAAAGAAGAAAATTTCTGCAAAGAGAAATGGGATTCATGCATAAACTTACTCATCCTACATAGCACGTAACTCTAGGCCAATGCCTTCAGTTTTTGTCCTGAATAACGAACCGCAGGACTCATGACTTCCATATCTATCCGTTTAAGTTTTGCTGTGGAAATCAAAACAGCAACAATAAAGTCAAATTTTTAGTGGCTTGTAACCAGAAACATCTATGCGTTGCTCATAGGTCTGCGGTCATCTATGGCTCTTCTGGGCTTAGCTCAGTTCAGGTTCAAGCATGCGGCGTGCCACTCTCATTCGGGCTAAGAAGTCACACCACACAAGGTCAAGCCACACCACAACGAGGACTTCTAAGCCTCTGCTGGAACCTGGCACATGATACATCTGGCCACATTGAACTGATCAAAACCAGTCTCATGGCCAAGGGAAAATAGACCAGAGCCACCTATAAGAAGTATTGCCAATCACATGGCAAAAAAAACCCCCAAAAAAGTGGGTGTGTATAGTCCTTTCACAGGGAGGGGAAGAATTAGGAGCAATGCTGTATCATAATACCTCTGATACACTCTGAATATCTTTCCTGTTGTTGTTCTGGCCATGTATGTGTGGGCAGGATTCTCTCAGTTTTACACAAATACAAGAATCTGCTTAGCTTTCTTCTCCCTTCAGCCTTACTTGAGCGCATCTTATTATCGCTGTGAGAAGAGTTGATGTTACTTCCTAATATCGCAATCCATTATTTAAGATGGGCAGGGTTCAAGTTTTACCTAATTGTCTCTGCAACTCAAGCAGAATGTTCCCTTCCCTGAAATGCCATTGAACTTCTTACCTGCATTTTCATTTTGGTTCCTATTTAACTCTCTAGCATATCTTGTGCTTGACTTTATTTTATACTCCCTTTAAAAGATAGCTTTCCTTGGTGCACAATTTTTAGTTGCCAGCTCTTTTCTCTCAGAACTTTGAGTGCTGTGTTATTGATTCTGGCCTCCATCTCTGTTGTTAAGAAGTCTAGGAGCACCTGGGTAGCTCAGTCGGTTAAGAGTCCGACCTCAGCTCAGGTCACGATCTCACGGTTCGTGGGTTCCAGCCCTGCGTCCGGCTCTGTGCTGACAGCTCAGAGCCTGGAGCCTGCTTCAGATTCTATGTCTCCCTCTCTCTCTGCCCCTCCCCTCTCATGCCCTCTCTCTCTGTCAAAAAATAAACATTAAAAAATTAAAAAAAAAAAGTCTAGCATTCAAGTATTCCCTTTGTTGGTGATCTGTCTTTCCCCTCTGGTTTCTTTTAACGCCTTCTCTGTACATCTGATATTATGCAATTTCAATGCTGAAAGTCTAGAAGTGGATTTGTTACTTGTACTGCCTGATAGATATTGTTATTCCCATATTTGTAAATTTTATATGTTATCATTTCTAGAAAATTCTCAGTCATTATCTCCTCAGATATTATGTCTTCTTCATTCTCACCATTCTCTTGTTCTGGGACTCTAATTATCTGTATGTGGAAACTTTTCACGCTTTCCTTCAAATCTCTTAATTTCCTTAATTTTTTTCATTTCCTATACTACCTTCTGGATAATTTCTTCACCTCCTTATTCCAATGTACAACTTTTTTCTTCAACTTACATCTTAACAACTATTTTACCCACCCCATTGAGTTCTTAAGTTCTACAAGACTTGTTCTTTTCTAAAAATTCTCTTCGTTTTTTTGAATGGTTTCTTATTTCTTAGTCATGTTTGTGATTTCATATATCTCTTTCTTTAAACATTTTATATTCCATAACTGATCGTTTTAATATTTGAAAAGGCTAGGGTTTTAAATCTGCTTTTATTTCTGCCGACTCTCACCCAAGTGTGCTCGCTTGATCTTGGATAATGAGCCAATGTGTGGTTGATGTTAGTCTGGGTAAACCCTAAGAATCTAAATTGAGGATATTTCCTACAAGGTTCATATTTGTTTTGAATGGTGCTAAAAGGCACTGCCTTTAACAGTGCTCAGCCGGATCCTCTAAGGAGGCTAACATCAAGCCTCAGAACTTGCCACGACCCAAGGCTTGGTCTAAAAGTTGCAGTGCTGTGGGGCACCTGGGTGACTCAGTCAGTTAAGCTTCCGACTTCACCTCAGGTCCTGATCTTGCGGCTCATGAGTTTGAGCCCCACTGTGGACCCCGCACTGACAGTGCAGAGTCTGCTTGAGATTCTCTCTCCCTCTCTCTCTGCCCCTGCCCCACTTGTGCACACCCTCTCTCTCCCCCTCAAAATAAATAAACTTAAATAGAAGGTGCGGCACTGATACCCACATTCGTTTGCAGGAGCATCTTGCCTTTTCTATTTGGTCACCGCTATTCATCGCCATTTCAGCATTTTGGTTTGGTTTGTCTTGTGTTTTCCTCTTACACCTAATTCCCCTCATTTCAGAGACTTCAGAAATGCAGTAAAACTTGTTTTATGCAGGAGCTATTATTTTCAAGCAAGAAGGCCTTTCGGAGCTTCTAATCTACCACACTGCCAGGAGTGGCTGCCTTGGTGATATTTTTTACTCTGGGTTTATAGCTCTGCTCCTAAAAGCGGAGCTTGCCAAGAGTTGAGATTCCCAGATAAATGGAGCATGGCTTAAATTATTTTAAACGTTGAACATCAGAGTTAGAAAGCTTAACTTAGACTTTCTTGCTCAAAATGGGCCCTATTTCAGGACTGGTTTGCTTAACTGACTGACAGCTTATGCTAATGACATCACATGATTCAGTTCCGTTTGCTCACTGCCAACAGGGTGCATATAAACCTGTTACCCCTACTGAAAAGGTTACTCAAAATACCACTCATTGAAGGATGGATTAGTGACATAACCTCGTGAAGAAAGGTTAACAATAACTATCATCACAAATGTTACTTAGCTAACATAGCGGAATTACTAAGGTTTTACTATAACTTTATTTATGGTACAGTGACTACTCAAGCGAATGTTGCCATTGTTGGGCCGCCATCATGAGCTTGGAATTCTGATATTTTTTTTATTGTATAACTTATCTTTTTGAGGAAAATATTATCTATTAACATAACTCATTCATTGAATATCACTATATCCTTTTCCCTCCAAACAGAAAATGATAGCAAACAGCTAATGGATCAGGTTTGGGGAATAAAAACCAAGATAATGTGTAGAAGGGAGCAGTGTTTACAAGCCTATATTGGCATTAAGTACAGTGAATGGTTAGTAAATATCCTGATTGAAAACATTAGTTTGGCAAGATAATGAATTATAGCCTACATAAAAAATGATCACATCATTCTAAATATGTGTCAAAATCAGGGTTTTCTGGCTACATTTAAATAAATTATGTTCCGGATTTCAGAGCTTTACGTGTAACAATCGTGTCTAAGACATGAGTAAGAGTTACAGTGGAAACTAAGAAAATGCCCCTACCCACCCACCCCCACAGAACTAGGTAATCAGTACTTACAGTAAATAAACTCCTTCGAATTATCCAGAATTATATTCAATCATGCTATACAGTGAATGCTATATTTACATGAGCTTCTACTACTATTGCTGAGAGCATGGGTACTAACACAGGAGACTGGAATGGAGGAATAAGTTGATTTAGGTAAGGATCAATAAAGTACATTTGTGCAAATTTGACGTTAGTATCTGGGGATGAATTGGCTTGCATAGTGTCTTCTCAGCTCTGCATGAAGCGCCCTCTGAAACTTCCTCCCCAGCGGTGTCTCCAAGGAAAGAGGAAATTCATTCACCCTCATTTAAACACATACATCATACCTTGTGCACATATCAGCCATTTCAGTTTCTGTTCAAAATCAAAGTTAAAACATATTAACTGAAACACGTTTTAATACTTGCACTTCCTGCCTTTAGAAATCAATAATGAATCAAAGATATTCTTAACTATTATTTATAGTTACTGGGTTCTGAATTGTGTGTGTTGAACGCTAATATTTCAAAGATTAACTCTGAAAAGCCTAACACAAAGGGATGATGATTCAACCCTTTAGCAATTAAACTCTATTTCTTTCATGAGTAAGTCTGGTAATTTCTTTGACATCGTGACAATTCTTGCTCTAAAAATTGTATTTTCATGGACTATATATTTAAATTTCCAATAGATTTGTGACGGGCAATTCATGGCATTTACTTGCACTTAAAAGTTCATGCCCAAAGTTTCAATACCAGAAACTATCAACCATCCTCTTGATGGCAGAACACAAAATAGAAGAAAAAGTGATCCCCCTGATTTTTTTAAGTGAAGTAAGGCAATTTTTATTTAAAAAGTCCTTGAGGTTAGTGAAGAAAAAAGGTGCCTGAAACGTAAGGAAAGATTTTGAAATTTTTCTTCTCATCTAATGCTTGATTCTCTTTGTTGCTTTCTTGGTTTGAAAAATAAGAGGAGAACAAACACATCTAAACATATCTGGAGAATTTAGCTCACTTCTTAAAAGAGAAAGAACTAACACGTCATGTGATTGATAAAATATTTTCCCTTTCAAATCCCTTTTGAATCCTTATTCTATCAAAGCCTGGAATGAAAGAAAGAAAGAAAGAAAGAAAGAAAGAAAGAACAATGAAAACTCTGTCTCTTATGATGAGTGACCACAATGGCCAGCCATCACTGGACAGTTTTTCAAACAGTGTTGTTAATGACACAATTAATAACGACATGTAAGAGAATCCCTATCATTCACTTACAAAATCCTCCATCCAAATTAGGACTACAAGCTGTTTTATATATGTCTACATAGGCATTTCCTAGTCAGTGAAACACTGACAACAAAATTCTACACTGAAGTTTTGTAGAAATCTTTCTGATTATGCGAGGATCAACCAAAAGTCCCTTCCTATACTTGAATTTGCACTAACTGTGCTGTCTTAGAAGCCACTTTCAGGATGTAAGAACTAAACTGTAATTCATGTTTTCTGATAGGCATGCAACACAGCATTGAAAGCAAAATTATCCACTTTAAAATTATCCACTAAAATTATCCACTTTAAAAAAGGAATATGGTTACAGAGTAAGTAAATGCTTAAAACATTGTGTAAATGTTTTACAATAACTATTAAACCCAAGGCCATATATTTTCATTATTACTATCTTTCTGTATGTTATTTGAAAACATTGAAAAGCGTTTGAATAGGTGTTCTTCATGTATTTGTCAGTAAGTAGCTTTTTGTCACTTGCTTCTTGCATTAAAAATATGCTTGTAAGGAGTTTCATCACCTTTTCACTGTAAATCTACATCCCTTCATATGCAAGAACTGTGTATGTTTAGATTTTAAGTAAGAGCAAATTGCACTACATGCTTTGAAGGGAAACAAATTTTAAGTGATTTAAAACAATGTTTCTCATCTAATAATGCCCAAGTCTTATTTATGTCTCTCTGTCCATACTATAAGGAAATAACGACCAAGAATACAACCGCAGATTTAAAATAATATGAAACAAAAAAGAAAGAGCAAAAAAGATAGGCTGCAGAGTGACAAGACCTTCTCCCCTCAATGCCAGTAAGGTTCTAGCTCTGAGCATGCTCAGACACATGGGAGGCACCGAAGTTACTATGTCAGAACTCCTTCAGAGGTATAAGGAGGATACATCTAATACTTCAATTGCTGAAAACCTATTGTTATTTTTCTGGTACTAAACATCTCTTCAGCCTCAGACTGATTGCAATGTTCCTTCTACTTCATTTCATCATCCTGATAGATGTCAAAGGTAAGTCTGCTACTTTCTCGCTTAAATGAGTGCAATTCCAAAAGAATAGAAAATAGGCTATTTCTATTTAGTTCTAGCATATTTATAATAGACTCACTGCAGCGTTTGAGAAACAGACATCCAGTTTACGTTGTCATTGTCATCACCACTAATTGCTTGTAGTCCCATCCTAGCAATTTTTAGCAGCAACAAATGTTTCATGGGAACTTGCTTTTGTATGTTATTAAAATTGTAGGTAAAACATTTTCTAAAACCAATGTGGAATATATCAATTATAATGGCGAAAATAGTTCTTAGTATTTGTAAAAAAAAAAAAAGCATGACAAATTAAAAAATTAAAATTTTGCCTTATGAAATTTCAACCTGTTGAAATATCTTCATAAAATGTATGTAATTGTTAGTTGCTATGTTTCGTTGTTAACATAGCTGAACTGGGAACTGCCCAAAAAAAAAAAAAAAAAAAAAAAAAAAGAAAAAGAAACAAAGAAAGAAAGAAGGAAAAGAAAAAGCCACAAATCTAAAAATCAGAATCTCTCCCTTAGAGCAAACCTATGTAAAATAAAATCATTAAAAATGTACAAAAGGACTCTCCTTACTGGTTTGATTTTAAACATTTTTATTTCATCCATATTTATAACTTGGCATTTTTCTTAGGAAAAAAATTAATATTCACCTGGTTTTAAAGAAAAATATACCCTTGTTTTATTGTGAGCTTGTACACTTGTATCTATTTATTATATCCAAAGCATGTTGGGTTTATTATTATTCAAAATGTGTCTAAGTTCCTAGTCTTTCTTAAAGAATTTTGATAAACTTCTGAGAATAAGAGTTAGAATTTGAAATTATTTTTGTTTTCTGAGAAATTGGTTTTAGGTTTCTAAAATACTCAGTTTTCATTAAATGAACTCAATTGAGTATTTTTAATCTTGAAATAAAATGCAGTTATTTATGAACAATTATTTACAAACTTCTAACAAAAGAAGATTTTTAAAGTATTTCAATTTCAGTTTGAACTTGAAATACTAAAATTTTCTTCAGATTATTTTGAAGTATTATCCTAATACAGTTAGCATGATTTTTATTTTGCATTTTAATCTCCTTTACATAAAAATTTAAGTTATCATTTAAGTGTTGCCTTATGTGTTTCTTAAAGACAAGGAATATATGAACTCACTTGACATGAAATACGTTTGTGGAGAGCAGTCTATTTCTTTGATTTAGGGTCTTCCTTCAATTTATATCCTATGCACATCTGTAATATTAAATTTTATACGATTTTTAAGAATAAAAGTTAAAAAGAAGGTTCTTGGATCCAATACACTTTGCAGAGGTAATCTGTACCCTTAATTCCTTACTGTACAGGAATTGCAATATAGTTAACCAGTTTTAATAAAATATATGGTATAAAATATATATGGTATAAAGGATATGTATAAAATATAAAGTATAGTATTGCTTGTGGTAATACATTTAATTGACTTTGTGAACAAAATTTTTATGAGATGAAAAACATCTATTACTGAAATAGTGTTTTAAGATTTACCATAATGTAATGGTGTTCTTTAAACTAAAAAAGAAAGGAAAGAAATTTTAAACAGATGATTTTGGTTTATTTCTAAGCAAATGCCATGTTTCAGATCCACAGTCCAACCTGACAAATATTTTCATTGTAATTCCTTGGAAATTTTTATTTTCCAAGTTACCTTTCATTTCAATTGCTAATTTAACCCTTTCTTTTTAACATTATTTTCAAAGCTAGACATGTTAATCCTTTGATATCTTATTCCTATTTATAAAGATAATAATCAGTTGCTATATAATTAGTGGAAGTTTTTCACAATAAAATTATAGACAGTTAAAGTAGTTCGGCTATAATAAAGAAAAGTCATCCGGAATTATGTAAGAGCACAGATTGCTTCTTAAATTTACATAAATATTTGTCATAATTTTTTAGGTCAGACCTAAACAAAAGGAAAAGGCAGACATTATGTTTTACCTTTTCTCTTCTGGCCATCATCACCCTTGAGTGTCTAAGGCATTAGTGATATTGGCTAACAAGCTACAGACATTAACTGATTAGTAAAGATAACATATCTTATTATAACTTTGTACATGTATCTTATCATCAATTTATTCACTGGGTATCCTTGTTAATCAGACTCAAGCCACCTCCTCCCCAACAAGTTTTTTGTGGATTAATTACGGATAATATTACAAAACGAAAACATGGGTTTATATGGGAAATTAAAAGCATAAAGTGCCCACAATGCTACTGGGTAACTCTAGGTTGCTAGCTACTCAAAAAATTTGCTAACCTTCAAAAAATGAAGTCATTGAAAACAGGGGCCTAATATTTTGACGTGAACAGTATTTGACTGCCCCCTAATGGACAAGTTCAAAGCTCGCGTTGGATGCTCCTTTTTCTAAGAAATGTCGCTTCTAATTGGTTGCTGTCACTTGAGAAAAGGTTTTCCAACTAAATTTTAGTTTCACACAATTACATCATGCTGCTGGTAGCTGTGAAAATCAATTATATTGCAGACCAGCCATACAGAGAGGCTACATGGGCACCACTAATGAAAAAGAAACTTACCTGAATGGAGCCCTCTGTGAGGAAGACAGAAAATATCAGAAAACCAGAAGCGAAAGCTATTTGAGATGTGTTCTCTCTAAAGGCACTAACCAAATACATCTTGCAACAGATGTTTATTCATTTGTTTATCTTATTGTAAATAAATATGACCAGGTATATCAAGAGTTTTAAGGACTCTTACTTGAACTAACAAAATTGGCTGTCGCCTGAATTTTAGAGACAAAATTGGTTTGCCTTCAAATCAGTTAGTTTTGAAAAATGCCACACTTTTGTCCTAGAAAATTGTAGCCTGAAAAAAATTCAACTAATTAGAATAGTTTTTGTGTCCATAATTATATAATGATAAATGCACAGCATTTTTAGGAACGTATGTATATCTTAAATATATACGTTTAAGAACCTATTACTTGTTTGGTAAACATATAACAACATTTATCAGAAAAAATTAATGTGCTTGTTTTACATGAGAAATAGTAGGGAATTATCTGAAAACAAAAAATACACCTGTCTTCTCTGCTTTATTCACACACATCAATTTCTCACCCCACACTTCCAATCATTGAGTACATCTGGATAAAAACTAAGTTTGCTGGGTGCCTGGGTTGCTCAGTCACTTAAGCCATCTGCCTTGGGCTTAGGTCATGATCTCATGGTTCGTGAGTTCAGGCCCCAAGCTGACAGCTGAACTTGCTTCGGATCCTCTGTTCCCCCCTCTCTCTGCCCCTCCCTGTCTTGTGCGCTCTCTCTCTCTCTCTCCCTCTCTCAACAATAAATAAACATGTAAAAATCCTTTTAAAATTAAGCTTGCAGTAATTTCAACTGTGTTAAATACCTCGGAACGTGCTCCCAAATCAAAATGAAATGGTTGCTTTAATGCTCGTGTGGTTCGATAAACTTTTGAATGTTGTAAGATAAGAAAGGAATTGCAGTAGAAGAATTAACTTTATTACCAAGTAAAAAGCCTTTAAATAAATTCAGTGAGATTGATAAAATGGTAGACCACTTGTCTTAGGTTACTCTTCCTTTGCACTCCTCTGGCTTCCATCCTTACCTCCTTTCCTCTTTAGGCCTCTCTCTTCCCCCTGAGTCCCCCACCCACCCACCCCCACCGGTGCTCCTTTCTTAGATTCATCTCCTGACACACTTAACTCCTTCTTCTCCTCCCCTTTGCACACATCTGTCTCAGACGCCCTCCTGGCCTCTCTGGCTGCTGTTTCTCCCTCTTACCTCCTCCCTGTGGTCTTTTCCAGGTTTCCTGGCCTCTGAGACCTCTTCTGTCTTGTCTTCCTGCCTCCACTTTTCAACTCTCTTACTCTTTGAGCGCTTACCTTCTCCAACTCAAGCTTCATGCTTTTCCCATTTCATGCTCCCTAATTCCCATATCTGCTCCACTTTGACCGTTAGCATCCGCCTTGTCATTTCCCCTTGGAATCCAACTGCCCCTCGGTTTCCTCCTTTCCCAGGTATTCCTCACCTTTGATGGCCTCTTGTCATTCTTGAGCTTCCTCTCCAGGTCTTCTTGTATCTGTCTTGTTCCTCTTGAGACCCTGGTCCCCTTTCTGTTATTTGTGTCTAGCCCCAGCGTCTCCCGGGCTGGCCAGCAGTCATCATTTCTGTTGCTCAGATTGCTAGAACATGTGTTCAAACACAAGCAAACATGTACTATATCTTGTTATAACTTCAACCCCACCTTGCACTCGTTTTGGAGGTCCATGGTGATTTCTCCACAATTCTGAAATGCAGAGAGCTCCAAAAACTGAGAGTTTGAACTCTTTTGCCAAAAATAAATGTGGTTAGAATTTACCAGAAACTATTTAAGGTCTTCACTTATAAATTTACTGCAAAATGTCATATGTTGTGATATATACATAGATATTAATGTGTTTGCTCATGTGATTTTGCCCTAGACCCAGCAGAGAATATTATGTCATTTATAGCCTAAGTATTATTTAACTTTCTAAACCAAAACAAATGATAAATTCTGGAATACATTTCTCCAAACGGTTTCTGTTAAGGCGTTATAGATCTATACTAGCCATCACCCTATTCAGATTACCAGCTGTCTGTCCAACATTTTTCTCACCAGTGGTATATGACTATTTTCTTTGCTCAGGGAAGTTCTGTATTACCAAAATAAGTGTTCGATGAGAGAGAAAGAGAGAGATTATTTTAACGAATTCTCCCTTTCTGTGGTTCTGGTTCATTTTTTATTCAATTCGTTCAGATATTTTTTAAATGTTGGTGACTATATTTTCCATTCCAATAATTCCGACTGCATTTAAATCTGTCTGTTCTGGTTTTATAAACTTCCCTTCTTACTTCATGAAATTATTCCTCCCATTATTTCTTTGGAAAATAAATACAGATTTAAACCGCTTTTTAAAGCACTATCATCTAATTCCCCAGG